GCTATTTGTGCACACACAATTGCTGAACTTGGATTCAATAGAATGGAGTATTATGCATAGTAATCGCTTGGTTTGTTCTCAGCACTGACAGATGGGTGATTCCTTAAGTGGACTTTTTTGTTTAGAATGGATATTGTGGGTCTATGACATGCTCTCTCTCTTTTGTTGAATTGTATTAACCATCTTACTGATGCCGATTGTTACATCATAAACTGATCCTAAGACCTGTTTGTCGATTTTTGAAGTCCCTTATTGTATGCTCCTGTGCTTTGGTCATTCATTTTTCTCGTAACGGTTTATGATTTTCCTTTATCAGAGTAGTTTGTCTTACTCTTTCTCTATTGACGAGCAGTTTGCTTTCATGTAGGTAAGAGGTGTCCATGCTGGTACTGCAACACTGAAGGATGCCACATCGGAGGCTATCCGAGACTGGGTAACAAATGTAGAGACCACACATTACATTCTCGGTTCTGTTGCAGGGCCACATCCGTATCCAATGATGGTAAGAGAGTTTCATGCAGTCATTGGTGAAGAAACCAGGAAACAGGCTTTGGAGAAATGGGGTGGAAAGCCAGATGTATTAGTGGCCTGTGTTGGTGGTGGTTCGAATGCAATGGGACTCTTTCATGAGTTCATTGATGACAAAGATGTAAGGTTGATTGGTGTGGAGGCTGCTGGGTTTGGCCTAGATAGTGGTAAGCATGCTGCGACATTGACTAAGGGGGAGGTAGGTGTTCTTCATGGGGCTATGAGTTACTTGTTGCAGGATGAGGATGGGCAAATTGTTGAGCCACACTCAATTAGTGCTGGGTAAGAAACAAGAAAATTATGTTTCTTTGATGTCTTGGGTTTTAAGGTTTAGCGTTTGGCCCTTATAATCTTTTGGGTAATTTGAACTTCGATGCTGGTCTTGGTCTTGGAAAGTTTGGGGAATTGGAGTTTGATATCTTGAAGGAACTGAGTTATAGATCTTGGCCATACTTTTTGGAAACTTTTGTGATTCTAAATGCGCAGGGTTTCTTTGATATCTTAGAGTCGGGTTCTACATATTGAACTTGAAAATTTTTCTCTTCTTTCCATTTCTAGATTAATTTGCTTGCTTTTTCCTGCTTGATGCTCATGTTTGAATACACAGATTTTGACTCCATTTATCTCTTGCAATTCATCTAGGTTGGATTACCCTGGGGTTGGACCTGAACATAGCTTTTTGAAGGACATTGGCCGTGCTGAGTACTATAGCATTACTGATCAGGAGGCACTGGATGGTAAGAGTGACCTTTGATTGTTATATTTTACCTGCATGTATTTCAAGGCTTCTTTAATTGGTTTTTGACTTGATACTGAGGTTCCTTGTTTCATAAAAATCAGAAATATCCCGAAGTGCTGTTTACAACTAGTATTGATAATTTACAAACGGTGCCTAATCCTAGAAGTTAACTGCATGTAGTAAACTAAAATAAGTTTTCTTGCAAATTAATAGGTATGGGACAGTGTTAGAGAAACTGGACGGGTCGAACGGGACCCGGCCCATGGGCAGGTCCAGTTAAGCCGGATTTGGTGGTCAAGTTCCCAAGTTGGAAAAAAATTTATGTCATTTTGGCAAAGATTGGAAAGCATTTTGGTTATGAATACTTATGTTTACATTTTCCCTTATTTTTTGGATTATTTCTAAAATACCCCTGGTCACCAAATTGATTTTTGCAAAAATTCTTTTTTTCACTACTTTTTTAACCTCATTTATATGTGTTTTGTTTAATTTTGCTTTAAACATATTTATTGAGATTTCTTTATTGTATTTTTTTAAAAAAATTTCAAACACTTTTGTGCCTAGCCTGTACATGCCCGACTCGGGCTGGTTTCCCGGACTGGGTCTAGGTCACCTGGACCCAGCCTATGGCCAGGTACCCGGCCCGAGTCGGGCAATCCTACACTAGTATGGGCCGCTGAAGTATGTGAAGTTGGGAAAATTTAGATTGTTACAGAGATACATGATATGATTGCCTGATTGCATACTTTTAGACTGAAGGACTGAGATATTGGCAAGTGGAGCTGATTTTACAATTTAGTTAACCAAACACCGATCTTGACAGAATTTTCTGCTCCTGCACTAAACTGATATTAGTAGAGCTGATTTTACAATTTAGTTAACCAAACACCGATCTTGACAGAATTTTCTGCTCCTGCACTAAACTGATATTAGTACACATGGGCCTTGATCTACCCTGCTTTAGGGGGTTTTACGTGTTTGTGGAGGCTTATTTCATGTGATCTACACAAGCTGACACTGATTCTCTTTGTTATGCATTTTACCACTGGCTATTCATCTTGTCACTACCTCTGCCCTTGAATAATGGTTTTTCTTAGATTATTGGTTTATTTCATGATAAGTTAATATGGAGTTATTTTCTTTCGATTTGGTTATATCTAATGGAGTATCGGTTTTTGATCTGTTGTAGCTTTCAAGAGGTTATCTAGATTAGAAGGCATTATCCCTGCCCTTGAGACCTCCCATGCTTTGGCATATTTGGAGAAGCTTTGCCCAACTTTACCCGATGCAACAAAGGTTGTTCTCAACTGTAGTGGCCGTGGAGATAAGGATGTTATGACCGCAATTAAACTTTTGGAGGTCTAGTGAAGTTCTTTCTTTATACTTTCTCTCTCCCATAGTATGCAGGCTGTTGTATTCATTTTCAAGAAGAGGGGAAATTGTGGTTCATGCATTAAACTAGTCGACTAGAATAAATTATGGTGCATTGTGTTTGCTCAAGTGCAGTTTTGTATTTGTTGTTATATGATATACACCTGGTGAAATATAATGTTACAATCTTGAAGTTTATCCGTTACTTTTGCTTGGTATTGCTATGATGTGTTTTAGTTTGTTTGTGTTAAGTCAATGATACACATTTTTTGTAGGCTGAAGCCTATATGGGTCACATGGAGGTAGGGAGCGTAATGGAAAGCAACCTAATCCCGGTCTAGGTCATGATCTCAACCCGGTGGATTAGTCCAGATCCACCTTGGGCGGTCCCAGAGTGACCTACTCATCAAGTTCTAATACCCAGTTTATGTATACTATAACTTATAGGGAAAATTACCTCTCCAAAATTTTCATCCCTATTAGCCCTCTTTTGGTTCACGAAAATCCCTTATATCCCCTCAAGAGACTTTTAGCCCCTCAATTTTATTTTTCTTTGTTCTTTTTATAAATTTGATCTTTTTGTTTTAGAGGGGTACAAAGAATTTTGGTGAACTCAAGGCCCTAACAGGGATGGAAATTTCGGGGAAGGGGGTAGAGGTTATTTTTCCGAATTTATAATATTTATTTGAAAATCTTAAAATATATATTTGATGGTTCATACTAATTTGTATTTTGCTTTTTTCTCAGTAAGCCTTTTATTAATATTAATGAACCCTTAACTCTCTTCAAATTAAAAAAGAAAAAACATAATTTTCTTGAAAAAGAAATTCAAATTATTGGTCAAGGGCCAAGAAGGATACCCACGTGTGACATGCGGCTGGGTCCAAGTCGGTCCACCTATTTGGACCCTTGATCAAAGACCCTACTAGATTATAGGGCATGTTCTCTATTACTGTCCTGCTTGGCTCTAGGTTGGGGTGGATTTGGACCCAACCCGCTTCAAGTCCAGTTTAGGGCTTGGGTCCTCCCGAAGTAACAGACGGTCTAACTCGGCCCATTTGCAGCTCCAGGTTGAAGGCATTTTTTCTTGCAACTTAGTTTTCTGCCCTTGAACAGAGTGGTTTTTCAATGCTCTCTCCGGTATATAATGTTTGTTCAATCTGACTTTGTGGCACATGTTTAGGATTTCAGGACAGATTTAAAATGCTCAATTGTTCCTTCATGTTTAGGGACTCCATACCATGCCGGACACAGCCACCTAGCAGCGGTATACTGAATGTAATTTGTACCCTTCATTGTTGAAAACGGAAAGTTTGACCTTTAGGTTCCCTCAACCATGGCGGTCCAGCATATTCTTTGATTCTTCTGCATGGGTCAAGGATAGCTTTCCCTTGTGTTTAATATATTTCGAATAAAAAAAATAAAAATGTGTATCAGCAACCCTATCTATTCTCTAAAGACCAGATACAAATGCAGCAAAGGATGGAGACATCTTGAAGATTGAATCCATAAAAATGGTGGGAATACAGATTCGGATCTACAAACTTTATACTCGAGTAGCGCTGCACCTATAAGTTAATTTGTGCACAAATTAACCTATCAAAATTGTACATAAAAATGGCTGGTATACAGATACAGTTCTACAAACATTAAAAATATAGGATTGTAGAAGTGCGTTGAGAGAGGGAGAGTAAAGACAATAGGCAAGTATTAGAAGAACTTAGAAAAGAGAGTCAATGCCATTTTGCCTCTTCTCGATGAATTAATTGAGGGAAAGACAAACTAAGAAAAGAGAGAAGAGAAACTCATCATCATAATTAAGAAAAGACGAATTAGATATTGAAAGACAAATGCGGCAATTTACAAACGCCGCCATATATTCTTACTTGGACAAACACTAAAAAAGAAAGGCCTAAACAATTCTTCAGTACAACATTGAGACTGGTAATTTTTTAAAAAATATTGATACAATGAAATTTTTTAAATTTCGTGAATATAAATCTTCCAAGCAATCTAAACGAATAAAGATGCATTTCAAGTCTCTGCCAGATGCTAACCAAACAACATACACCTGAAATGTCAACTCTATGATACTCGTTTTTCCAAAAGCCCCATCTGTACGGACCAAACGGGTCCTAAAGTTAAAGAAAAAGATGGAAATATTTTGCATCCCTCCACAAGCTAATACCCAGCCTTTTCATTATTCGTACCCCTTTTCTCTCACATGCCATCCTATATTCTATGAAAGTGGTAGTATTTGGTAATTGTGTTGTGCATGACTTAGCATCCAATTTCTTATGGACCCGGTTTTTATGTGGCCAAGCTCGCTTATGTAGAAATGTGGGTCTCTTAATAAATCTAT